GGGGCGAGGGGGGCGAGCTACACATACCACTCCTTTTTGGAAATAAAAGACCCGTCGTTCTGCGAGACCATGTTCTCCGCTATGTCTAGCTGCTCGGGGTCATACTGGAAGCCGAGTGTCCTTTCGTCATAAGGTTCAGGATGGGCCTCTCCCTCGTCGACCGTGAAGTAAGGCCGCTTAGCATCCTCCTCGTACTTGTTGGGGCCACCCAACTTGCGCTCGCCTCCCGCATCCTCGTCCTCGTCCTCGTAGGTGCTGCCGCCCAGCGGGCCCGGCTTCTTCTCGTCGTCAGAGTCGTCGGGGTACTGCAGGTTTTGGGCCATGGGAGGGTGATGCTGCGGGATGCCAGCCTTGCTGTAGCCGTTGCCATACACGTGCTTCTTAGTGCTGTAGTCACCCTTGAAGGTGTGACGCCGGCGCCGGAGCACCACAACGAGCACCACAGCCACCACCAGGACCAGCGAGACGCCTCCCACTATGCCCCCAATCACGGGTGTGGGGATGTTCGGCTGCACCACGGATTTGCGATCATCGTTTGGAGACGGGGTGGAGGGAAATTCTGGGTAGGAAAAGACAGATGGAAGGGGGAACAGTGTCAAACCATGCGGAATTGCACCCTTGCTCCGTGCTCTTGCTGCCGCTTTTTGCTTTCTTTTATGTTTTTTTTTTTTTTTTCAGGGGGGGGGGTGGGAAGATGAGGGTAAGGAACAGGGAAGGGAAAAATTAGGGAAAGGATGAAAGGGTGCATCCTCAGAGGAGATGAGGGTGCTCTGTGCTAGCCAGGATGCGCAGCTTGGCCTGCTGAGCCACATGCAGGAGCCCAGCTGGCCCGAAGTCGTGTTTCCCACCCCAGCCGCCCACTGCCTCCCAGAGCACTCAGACTCTATTCCTTGAGAGCCTGCATGCTTTCCATTTTTTCCGGAAGGCATTTCAGATTTATTTTACCAGAGCGGACCGACAGCCCGGGGGCTCTGCTTCAGGGAAGGAGACCCAGGCACCGAGTTGCTGTGGTCCTGCCGGTAGAAGTCCACCTGCCCCAGTGCCTCCCGCAGCATCCCAGCCTTGCCTGACCCCAGCTGGGCTCACATGGGTCAGGAGAACGCAGCACTCAGTCACTGTCACTCCCCCTGGTCCCCACACGCATGAATTATTTGCGGCTACACAGTGCTGTTTGGGGTCGCAGCTTGCTGACGATCCCGCTCGCTGACCTGGCTGCACTATGAAGTGCACGAGTACAGTGCTCCCAATGTTTGCGTTTCTTCTGTTTTCTTCTGTTACTACTGTGGCCTGCATAGTGCCACTGCAGATGCTAATCTTGCTCCTACAGATACCCTGACCTATTTAAAAATAAATAAATAACTAAAAAGAGAAGACAGAAAGCAAAGGGAGAGAAGCTCTCTTCTCTTTCATGCTGTTCGACACATACATTTCGTTACAGATGAAGTTTGATCCAAGACTTAAAATGCCTTCCTAATGCCCCCTGGGTTTGGTTACAGCCCCTGGCCAAGCTGCTTCTCTTCACCGACTGCAGTCCAAAGCAGCATTTGCTGATGGGCAGAGAGGGAAAAGAGGCAGCAAACACACAGACTCAGGAGCAGGCAGCCCTGACAGCTCCCCTCGCAATGTCTCACCCACTCCAGGACATATCCTCTCTGTGCAAACACCCAAGACGCTGGTTCAGGCCATGTACTTATTACACAGGTGAAGATCGAGTTGCTTTGCATATCTGAGGGGAGAGAGCAGCATCCAGGAGCATCGTATGATGAGCAGCATGGCAACATGGGCTGCTCTGACCATGCTCAAGGCTGCTCCAGCCTTGCATCATGCTTGTAGCCCTCACACCACTTTCTCCACACCCTGTCTGTGAGCTGTTACGGTGCTCTGCAGCCTGCTGGCCCTGTCTTTTGACCTGTGCTGCTAAGGACAGATGCAGGATGACGAGCAACTTCAGCCTGCGCAGACAGAGCGGCTGCCAGGACAGGGCGATGGGGAGTGAGGGATTCAAAGGAAGCAAGTTCAAATGAGTCTGCTTCCTGCCCCCTCTTCCCAAGCCTGCGAGACTCTGCTGCCGGCAGCCAAGTGTCTGCGTTTGAGCAGGAAATCTCAAGCAGGCTGGAGCTGGGCAGGGAGGTTCCCTGGAGCACAGCTTGGCCACCCTCTAAGGAAGAGGGTAGAAAAGAGCTTCCTCTGGGCAGAAACGACTGCAGATTTGGGGTGACAGGACTGAATAAGAGTAATTGTTGGCCTGCCCCTTGTGGGATAGAGTTTTGCTTGTGCCCCAGAGCTGTTTCAAGCAGTTCCTGCCTTTCCCCAGAGCCCTCCCAGGGAGAGAGGGGAACCCTCCCAGGAGCCTGGATAGCTCTCCAAAGACAGACGTCGAATGAAGAGTGAGGGCACGTATTTCAGCATAGAGAGCTGGGGTTCTGTTCTGGAAAGCCAAAACCACAAGTTGCATCAACAGAAAGCTTGTTAGAGCCAAGTGGTTAATGGAAAACCTCTCTGCAGAGACAGCAGGAAGTGTCACGTCCATCCCCAGCAGTCCTGGCTGCCGGGGGCTCAGTTTCCACCACACATGCCTTCGCCGCTCTCACCACCCTGCTCGTGCCACCAGCCCTGGCTTGTCTTTAACTTCACCCCCCAGCCTTGCAGCTCCAGACTGAAGAAGTCCTCCCAGGACTTCTCTTTGGAAGTGCTACCAGGCCTTTCTCAATAGCAGGACTGCTTTTGTGCTTGTGACCAGCGGCCCCAGCATGCCACCATGAGAAGACCCAACCATGGCACACAGGCCAATGGGGGAGGGAGGCAGGCGCTCCCTCGTGCATCCTCCTCTGCCTCCCAGCTCTGGAAAACAGATGCATTGGAGATTGGAGTTCTGTAACTTCAAAAAGAGCTTGGCCCGTTTTTCCATCAACAGCCCAATTAGCAGCCCAGGTTGTAGGCTGTAGACGAAATGAGGGAGAAATGTTGTTCTACCTTTGTCATATACATTATCTTTTTCATGCTCTTTGCGCTGCTCGCCCCCAAGATAACACTTGCCTGCCTGCCACCCTCCCGCCCCCCGCCACCACCAGCGTTGCGGACACAAAAATTAGCACGACACTGTGTTGGATTTCACACATTGCACGAGGAAGAAACTATTTTTGCTCAGATACCATCCCCGTCCTCCTTGCAGTGTCCCAGTTCCCATGCCAGAGCAAACAAAACCAAACTGTGGGAAGAGACAGAGAAAAGGGTTGGGAAGATTGCAAGCTTGCTGTCGGCTCGCCACACTCTCCCAGAGCCTGGAGAAGCGGGTGGCTCTGGGGAAGCAGGGAGGGACGGCAGCTAAGGGGTGGTCGAGAGAAAATGGACGAAAAGGAGGAGCTCCTGCCCCTGAAAGCGGAGCGGGAGGCCAGCCAGGAGCAGAGCGGCTGTAGCCGGAAGGGGGGGCAGACCCGGTGTCCTGTTTGCCATCACCCTCCACCCCCGTCTGGGTCGCAAGGCCTCGCAGCAGCTGGCAGGCAGAGCATGGCGCGCTATCGGCTGCCTCCTTCCTCCGTTGCCAACCGCCAGGTTAATGAGTGACTCGGGCAGCTCCGGTGGCACGCCACACACAGGCACTGCTGCCAGCCCCACGGAGCGGGGTTTTACCCCTCTGCCCACCAAGCTTCGCGTCTGGTGGATGAAAGAGAAGGGATATGCAACTGTAGGGGAGAGGGGAGACTCTGCAAAGGATCCCCCTTTTTGCGTCTGCAGGGAATGTGAAATGCACTAAAACTGGTGCGATGGCTAGGCAACAGCCCTGGGTGCATCCAGGGCCCCATGCGAAAAATCCATTAGGAAGAGTCTGGAGAGAATTAAAGCTGCTGTGAAAAGTGGACTGAAGAAACAGGAGACATTACAGAGCAGGGAGGGGGAACAAGCTAGGCTTTAATGCTAATATACAGAGCCTCCCCCTGTCCTGCTACCCCCATAAAAACAAGGAGTGTGATATGAATAGGAATTAAAGCAGCAACATTATCTCTCCCCTGCCCCGCTTTGCCAGCTGTTGCATTAGGGCCAGCTTCCCATCCCCGTGCCAAGAGCCAGACCTCTCTGGGCAGCAGCTGGGAGTGCGGAGAGATGAGGGGTCGCCCTGGGCTTTGCTCTGGCACTGGGCCGACCCCACATGTTCCCTTTGATCCTTCCGTGCGAGGCGGAGGGCTCCTGCCTTGTCCCTGCTCCTGCAGCTCACGGAGATGCTGGGCTCCAGGACTCAACTAGAAGAGGCACGGGGGCTTCTCCCACTCGTGTAAATAACCACAGATTTGGCAGCAACCAGGACTGGAGCTGCAATGCCTCTGCAGACACAAACCAGGCCCTCCCCAGCTTAAGGGTATCATAAAAAATATGGGTGTTTTTTTTTGTTTTAAAGGATTTTTAATTGTTTGTCACACTTTTGTTTTAAAGGATGGTATCCAATAAATATGAGATCTATGCAGATCATGCTGCCTGCCCATCAATCCCTTATTTAACGTTTTTTGAGCGTGGCAAGGTGACAGAAGGAGAATGAGCCAAAACTATCCCTACCATAAAGCTCCTGGAGAGAACTGGGGTGAGAACTCTTGCAGAGGTGGCACCTAAACCTCATTATTAGACATCGGAGAACCCATACAGACAAGACACAGTTCCCACGGTAAGAAGTGCCTAGATCAGGAACAACTTATTTTTAGATGCTGAATAATTCCTCTATGAGATGTAAATCCACAGGAAACCACCTTTCAAAAAGTCCTTTTGCTCACCAAATTGCTTAGATATTTTTGAACGATACTACTTCCTGTGGACTCTCTTTTTGTTAAACCTGAGCCACATTTCCATCCTTTCCCTTCAATCAGAAGGACCAATTGAAAACCCAGCACGACCCGAGATCCAGGAGGTGACCAGAGCTAGACTTTCTTGTCCCACACCCTGCCCCTGCCAGGGGCAAACAGCAGCTTCAGGGAGCAGCAGGAGCCTCCTTGGAGACACACCAGGAATTTGGCCCTGAATCAGGTTCAACTGCTACAGCCAAGTGAGTCCCTGGGGATATGCAGTCTGCAAACATGATTTTGATGGGATGCCCCTTATTGCCAGCTCCTGCCTAGGGCTCAACATACCAGGGCAGCTGCTGGTCTGTGGAATTTCGCAGCTCCCAGATGCTCTCAGCAAATGCAGCTGTGATCCATAGTTCTTCTTTAAGACATAAAAGAAGTGATGGCCACCCTTCCATGGAGATACAGTCCATAGCAGATTATGCCCGAACTCTGACCCTCCCCATTAAACAGGCTAGTGTGGAGGGAAGGCAGGGAAAAGCCTCGCGGTCTGTGCCAGTATGAACAGAGCTAGGACCTGGGAAGCTCCAGAGCGTTTGCAGCATCCACCACCTCTGCACACTGGCTGTGGCAGCTCTTGTGGAAACTGTCTCCCCTCTCCCTCCTGCCTCCCCCTTCCTCACAGTGGATTTCTGATCCCCTTCTCCTGGAGTGAGGTGGGAGAGAGGGGAGAGGAAGGAGTGGGGATGGAAAAACTGCTGGAAACTAATCCAGAAGTTTAGCAGCTGCTGCTGGTATTTCAGAGTGCAACAGCTTTTAGGCCAGATGCCAAATGTGCCTTAGGTTTTAATCTCTTTGTCAGGTCACCTATCACTTGTCAATCAAATGTTGCTCCCACAGGGGCCCTTGGCACAGATGCCATCAGACAGGTTGGGGGAGACACTCCCATCAGAAATCCAGAAGAATTGCCTCAAACAGGCCCCCAAGACTTCCTCTCCTTCCCCCACTGCATCTGCTCACGGGCTTGGGGCTTTATGTTTTCCGGAAAGGCCTCTCCCTTGCACTCACAGCCCTCCACGAAACAGCTCGCATGCAGAGGGCTCCCGCAAGCCCTATGGGCTGTTCGCAGTGCCCTTGCTGGGATGAGATCACTGGAGGTGTGTAAATGGCCATGCTGCAAGCTCAACAGGGCACGGCCGGCCTCCTGCCTGGCTCTCCCAGCGCCTCCTCGCCTCGCTGCCAGCCGGTCTGCAGGCCCACAAACCAGGCAAACCAGCCGGTCTGCAGGCCCACAGAGGCGGCAGCGGCCCTAACTTTGTGCCCCAGCCCCGTCACCCACTCCCTCTTGTGCAGCCCTGGGGGCTGGGACGCACATCTGTGTGTGTGCCACGAAATAGAGAGGGGTCATGTGCAGATGTGTGTGTGTGTACAGGACCACGTCTCCACACAGGACTGCTCCACAGCTGTGTAGGCATGCAGGGACACATGTGCTAGCCTGGTCACAGCCACAGCCTCTTGTTGTGCCACCCAACTGCCTCAAATAAATAGTTGCATGTCACGCTACATGGCTTGGCTGCGACTGACAAAGGTCCTGCAAGGCAGGAGAAGCTATTACAGGAACAGATTGCAGGAATAAAATATTAAATTTCCACTTATCAATCTCTTTAATGTGCTATAACTCTAACGGTGGTGTTGAGCCTCCTCTCCCTGAACAAATCACCCTTCCTGCAAGGAGGGGAACTGAACCAACCCATGATCCTCCTCTCGGGACATGGGAGTGGGAGGAAGGATGCTGAGGTGGCAGCAGAGGAGGGAAGCTCCTTGTCTGAGAGAGAAGGCATCAGGGGAGGCAAGAGGGGGAAAGCTGCTGCAGGGTTTTCTCTGCAATAGCTTTCTGGCTTTTTTCTCCCAGGGCTGGCTGCTCACTAGATTGAACTCCATTTATTGCATGCAGCTCTTGAAAGAGGTTTTGTGGTCCACTGACAATCCCTAAATTGCCTGCAAGACCCAAACAAACGTACCTGTAATAGCTGAGTGAGGCTGGCTGAGCCCTCCCTAGCGCTGGCCTAATCAGGCCTTAGGGAGAACTGAATAAACATATTCAGATCCCATGAATTATTAAAAGGTTTTTTTTTTTTTTTTAACTTTGTGGAGCCCTGGCCTAACGAGTTGGCTGCTAATCCCTCCTAGCGTGGCAGCTGCTGGTGTGTCCCGCTTTCCCTCTCATTTAACCTCAGGCCCACAGCTCAGGCCTTTGGGAATACGTTCAGGTTACAGGCAGGCAGGCATCATCCCCTAGAAACCTTGCCAGCCCCCACTTCCCAGCGTCGGCAGATCTCATATAAATTCACAAAAAAAAAAAAAAAAAACACCAGGAATGGGGCTATTTACAGGGGCTTAAAGGGAGGACCCACAAGCCTCCCTGCCAGCAGGGTCTGTGCGCCGTGCAAGAGATTCGGCGAAGCCACCTGGGCTACACTGATATCATTGCATTAAGACAGAGAAAACAACTGTAGGTGGCGGTGGGAAAGATGAACAGAGAACTATATCTGCTATTTGAGTTTGCGTGGCCTGACAGAGCAAGAGATAGGAGGAGGCTGCAGAGACAGAAAGGCAGCTAGAAACAAATATAAAATGAGATACTGTTAAAGAGAGCCTGAGCATCCCTAGGTCTTCTGCAATATCTGTGATGAATCCCACCTCTTTCTCTTATACTAGGGAA